GGATGATGCCACGGTGCTGTATTCTATTGTTTTGTAAACACTTTTCATTTTCCCTAAATATATTTCAATCACAATTTTTCGCAGAACATCCCAGCAGACAACAACGTCACTACATTTGTTCAACACCATTGCAGTAGTGGATAGGGTTGTGCCAGTGCCTTATGATGTGCCAAATATGGATGCAAACAGTGATATTGATGCCGATCGCTTTGTACCATCTGTTGAGGAGCAAAAGTTGCTCATGGATGAATTAGTGTTCATTGTTGCATCATCTGTAATCAGCAATGTACCACAGATGAGAGATATATTTGGAAAAATTTACCCAAAGCATCTTCATCATGAATTTAGTGACCAAGCTGGAGAAAAAACAAAACAGGTTAGCAAAGATTTTATTGTACTCAAGTCATTTATGATCAAATTTTAATTATTTCATTCATCAAATGTTTAATGTTTGAAAATTTTATCAAGGAAAAAAAAATACAGTTCATGAATGTGTTACACACCTACCCGCTAGATCTTAAAGAAAGTATTTAATGCACTGACTTTTCTTACTAAAGATTTATTTGTTACACAGTATCCTCTGGGCCTTACAGACTGCAATGAGAATAAAACTGCAGAAGTGATTAAGATGTTAGGAGAATTTCAACACAAGTATGTTCCATTCAAGTATGATGAAATTCACGAACCAGTTTTTTTTGGTGGTAAGCATAAATATATCCATTATCCAAAAATATATCTCAGCTCAGTGGTCAGAAAATATATAGAACTTAAACAAATACACAAATCCGAGTAAAACTTTATTTTCAAATTTTACAACAGGGGAAACCCAACCTGTTAAGTTTGTGACATCATGGACATAGTTATGATTTTTTAATACTCTGTACTGCTATACTTGCAATTTACAGGTGATAGACTGACGGATGAAAGAATTCAATCAGCCCAACAAGCGATGCTGAATGCAGAATCCCCAGCAGGGAGGCTTGAAGGCTTTATTTCTAAGATTGAGGACTTTCATAGGCTGATGAATTTTTTAGAGGTATTTTTTTGGGGGGGAAAAATATCCCAAAGTAAAAATTAAAAACAAAACATCCAAAAAAAGTATGCTTTATATAAACGCATAAAGATTACCGGTAATAAGTAACTGTTAATTAATGATAATTTTTTTATTTTAGGCCATCGCAAAGTTGACCTACAGCACAGATTCTGCCAGTGACCCAGGCACAATGTTCTACTTTAGAAACAAGTTGAATGCTAGAAATGTTAAAGGCAAAGTGCGTGATTCATACAGGGCGCATAAATACTTATATTATACTGTTCTGGATGCTCTTTGTTGCGTGATGTTTCTGGATGAATTTGACGTTGTCAACTTTGATGACGTAATACCCCTCCATGAAAATTTCTGTGACAAATCGGATGATGAAAAAATCGCTTGGATAAATGAAATTTGTGAGAATATACTGAGAAAACACTTCTTCAATGAATGTGATGATTTGATGGAAACATTAAGAGAAATTCTCAATGATCCTAATCATCCAGAAAACTATTGGATTTCCAATGTAAATGATGGTCGTGTACAATGCCACTTTTGTGAACGATCATATGCCTATGTAGGTTCACTAAAAGTACATGAAGAAACCAAACATAATGCGAATGTCCCACCAGTGGTCAAACCAAAAACATCGAGAGGAAGTGAAAGTGATGATGTTGAAAGCTATTGCAATGTGTTGTTCAAATTAACTTTGTTGCACAAAAACTTGGATAGTGCTGTGGATATGGCTGATGGAAACAGGAGTGTTAGATCTGCTAAATATGAACTACCTGTGTACAATTTAACTAACAAAACCAAATATGCTATCGGTTCAATCCATTTGATTGCATTAACAGAGGGCATTCTATCAGCTGACCAACGAGTGCGACTGACAGCAAATAGGTTCATAAATTTACATGGAGGAGTCAACAATAATATGGCGTTAGATGAGTATGTAGAACTCTTAAACCGCGACAGTAAAATTGCCTGCTCAGGTTTCCAGACCAAAGACAGTATTTTGTACCACTCTAAGGAGTTCCCAATGGTTGTGAACTTTGTGAAACATCATGACTCAATTTGTGACGTGACACAACGAAAAGGGTTTCATCATCTGCCCTCTTATTTGGAAGATGTGAAGAAAATTGCCGTTGAACTTGCAGAAATGAAAGCTATTAAACATGTAAATGGTAGAAAATTAAAATGTAAATCCTTGACCTCTACAGGGAAAGACTTGTTTGACAAATGCTTCCAGCATTTAGGAACACTGATTTTCAAACATAAACCTTTGTATGCATATCACAGACTTGGAAATAAAAAGATGTAAATGTTGGAATTTTTTTTTTTATTAAAGTTGTTACATATTTTGTCAATGTTTGATGCTCAGAACATCAATAATGAGTACCAATACACTTTTAAAACAACACAAAACAATAAAATTTTATGTCAATGGATTTGAATTTTTTGCAACAAACAGTCAATCATACGAGACAAATCCAAACTTTTTAATTAACAGGTAAAACAAACATTTTGCCATTATTTGAAGATGTGCTGACTCACTTCTTAATTGGCAAACAACAGTTTTTATTGCATTGAGACAAATCAATCCAGGTTAATGTCTAAAAGCAAATTATCAATGTCTTCATTGTCAGAACTCTCATATGATTCAGTGTATTCGTCAGTCTCCTCCTCTTCCTCCTCCGCAGACAAGTCATCTAAAGTAAAGTGAAACAATTTTTCAATGCGTGTTTGAGAACATGATACACATTGACATATGCTGTAACACAAATCACAACAGGAATGAACTGGTTCCACTTCTTTTAGCTGCGACAATTCTGTTGCTTTATGAAATGGTGCCAGCATTGCAACACGTCTACAGGAGTAGTTTATTGTATTGGTTGTGTTACTGGTACTTTTACCAGCTTTATAGACTTCTTTCACTTCTTTCTCAACACCAATCATGTGATAAGAATTATGTAAGAGTAATGCTGTTGAACACTGTCCATCACGCCCGACACGGCCTATTTCTTGAACAAGGTCTACAATAGATTTGGGGCATCCATACAAAATGACATTGTAAAATCCTACAAGGTCAACTCCCATGCCCAAGGCACTCGTAGCCACCACAATTTTTAATTCACTAGATGGATCTTTAAGCGCTTCCATTATCTTTGATTTTTTTTTTATCATCAGTTTCTGAGTGAAACATATCAATGCAGGTGCATTCAGGTAGTTCATTTTTAATGTACATGTAAATGTTAGAGGAATCTTTAATTGACATGCAGTAAATCAAAGTTCTTGGAAATGTTCCATCATGCAAACCTTCTATTATCCAGCCTAATGCCATTTCAATAGAATTTGGTATCTTTTGAACCACAATTTTTATGTTTTCTTTGTTTGGAGAAACACATATTTCGATTATGTTCGTAGAAAAATTCAGGATTTTCTTTACACGTGAACTGATTTTCTGAGTACATGTGGCGCTTAGAGCAAGGACACTTGCCTCAGGGTACAAGGAACGCATTTCCCCTATGTAGGAAAACCATTTCCTAAAAGCTTTTTTTCCTCCTTCATCTTCTCCCCTAAAATTGAAAACATACTGTTACATAGCATTCACCTTGTACATGTTCATGTATAAGGGTAGGATAAAGTTTGTTTCTTGCTTTTTATAAACCTTAACAAAACTGCATTTATTCCAGAAATCAAGAAATTAATTATCTGCTGTTCCAGTTCTTTTAAAAATTATTTTTACTCTGATTAAATACAATATGTATGTATTGAAGAAGAATATATCAATATATGAAAGATGGAAATTATGTATGCTTACCATGTAGCTATAGTGTGAAATTCATCGATAACTATAGTGGAAACTTGAAACTTTTGACAAACTGATCTCCAGTGCTGATCTCCAACTAGCATCTCTGGGGCAGCGAAAAGGTAGTCAAATTCGCCCCGTTCAACAGCCGGATCCCTACAACCACCTCCTGTAAAAAATGTACACATTGGCTTTAAGCAATGCCCAAACTTAATAAATACATGATGCAAATGCAAATGTTTTATGGACACAATTATAACAACTGGCATTATATCGAGACAACTTGCTAAAATAAAAAATATACCAGTTCCATTACCAGTACAGATAAAAATATGCATTAATTTACACATTTTTACCACAGGCGCTTGTTTCATGTATATTCATTTGTTATGGTATATTTAAGCTAGACACAATAACGGTTTGTTTGTTTAATATTATTATAATTCATATTATTGATCAAAAATTTTAATATTTGATTTCGAGTACACTCACTACACAAATGTGACAATTTACATGGAATAGAAATTTGGCAATAATATATTAACTCTCACCTAAATAAACCGCTCTTACGCCGGAAATTTGACTCAAACGTTCACATTGATCTTTCATCAAGGCTATCAGAGGCGAGCAAATGATTACTTTCTTTCCGTCGTTTTGTCCCAATTCTTTTTTGACTGGAATAAGTAACTGGTACGGAAGCGACTTTCCAAACCCCGTAGGAAGAACTGCCATGCAGTCCTTGTATGTGAGGATAGCATCTAATATTCTCTGTTGTTCTGGTTTAATCGTGACTACATTAAAATACTTCAAACAGTTTTTCACGGCAACTTTGAGGTCAGCCATTATTCTTTGTATCTATTCAAATCGTTACCAAATCAAATCGTTTGAAAAACATAGAATTTATGTATATGTTTTGTGTCTTTTATATGCTTTTTATTCCTTTTTATTCACGATTATCAAAGTAAATAACCATTCATAAAAATATTACGATAAATGATAACAAATACACTCAATAATACAATCACGGCGTGGTAAGTACTTTGTGGGCGAAAGCAAAGGGGTATCAAATTGACGCGGGACCGGCTGATTAGCCGACATGTTTTGTGCAGAATATTCTGATTGGCTAATATTTCTCATAAATATTCGTAATATAAAGGTCGTTCGGACGTGACCCTCTACGGAGTTACTTCAGATCCTTTTGTGTAGCGATCTACGGGAGCGGATCAAAGGATCTGATTTTAATCAGATTGTTGATTTATTCTTTATCTTTTACGCACTGTTCTTTTCTGTCTCTCAGTCATCTGTGACACATTTTTCAGTTTTCCGCTATTTTTTCTTTATTTATTATATTATTAGGCATTATTACTTGTTTTTACATTTTTAACATACTTTGATAAATTATTCAAACTTACGGAAATTTCTATCTAAACACGACTTTGGTAATTCTGAAATTTGTAAGAGTTATTTCCCTTTTTACGCATTCATGAATTTGGAACATTTATAATCTGTTAAATATATTTTTATTAAAACCCGTGTCGATGTATGAGGACTGCATTGAACTGAATATATTGTTTGATGTCGTTTACTTATTGTATTTTATTTCTTATAGGGCCGATATTTTCAATTGTTTATATGTGGAACGAGATCCCGGCAATAAAGAATCCATGTAACCCTTATACTGTGTTTGTTCATCAATATGACACGGTCACAAATGGCGCCCAACGGTCTTGGATCTACCACATATCGAGACGATTCAGCTACTCAGCCGAGTCCACGTGCAGTGCGGGATTACCCTCTGGAACGTATCCGTGACGTACTCGGACTGACGGGTCAGACGCACCCCCAGGAGTTCACAGACTCTTCACTTTTGAACAGTGCATTTTCTGACGCTGCATAATCTTGTTTTTTTTTTGTGTGATTATTATTCTTATTGGAAAAGAGTATTGTGTACAGTCCTCGACACGGTAAGGTACAGATTATTGTCCCCCGCTTTCGCGAAAGCGAGGGGACATTAAATCTCATTCGTCTGTCCGTCGGTCCGTCTGTCTGTCCGTCGGTCCGTCAGTCTGTCCGTCCGTCACAAAAACTTTAACCTTGCCCATAACTTTTGATTTAGTGGAGCTATAATTTTCATATTTCATATGTGTATTCCTTGTGATAAGACCTTTCTTTGGGTACCACCAAATTTGACCTTTTGACCTTGACCTTGGAGTTTCAACTACTTTTACTAAAAAATTCCAAACTTTTACTTTGGCCATAACTTCTGAATGGTAGGTACTAGGACTTTCATATTTCACATATTTATTCTCTGTGACCAGACCTTTCAATGAATACCAACAACTTTGACCTTTTGACCTTGACCTTGGAAATTTACGTACTTATGAAAAAAACTATATCTTTGACCATAATTTTTGAACGGTAAGGGCTACGGCTTTTATACTTCACATATTTTATTCTTGTAAGAAGACCTTTCATTGGATACCAAGAACTTTGACCTTGACCTTGGAGTTTTAACTTCTTTTTTAAAATTATAACCTTGGTCACAACTTTTGAACGGTAGACACAAGGACTTTTATATTTCACACATGTATTCTTTGAGGCAACACCTTTCATTGGATACCAACAACTTTGACCTTTGGACCTTGACCTTGGAGATTTACGTACTTTTGAAAAAACTTTAACCTTGACCATAACTTTTAAACGGTAAGGGTTAGGCTTTCGTACTTCACGTATGTAATCCTTGTGAGAAGACCTTTCATTGCATGCCAAGAACTTTTACCCTTTGATCTTGACCTTGGGGTTTTAACTACTTTTTAAAAACGTTAACCTTGGTCACAACTTTTGAACGGTAGAAACTAGGACTTTCATATTTTAAATATATGTATTCTTTATGGCAAGACCTTTCATGGGATATCAAAAACTTTGACCTATTGACCTTGACCCTAAAAATGATATCTTGCCCACGAAGACACAGAAAGCGGGGGACCACAATTCTTTGAATTTGCTTGTTGATTTTTCTGTTACTATTTTTGAACACTGGCGTTTCGCTAGAGTAGTCACAGAATCAGCTGATCGACGAATTGTTTACCCGGTCATTTTGATTTACAGTATGTGTTGAATTTCATTGCATTTTTGGTAAGAAAGAAGTGAGCAGGTGTGAGTACTTGAATTCTTATTACTAGTCTATCCAGCTACCCGTTTCACTCAGTACACATTACGCCAAATTTGCATGGATATGGTATAGTCTGTCGTTTATAAAACGGATTCGACCCGGCAGGTGTCTGTCGTCGGTAGTTGATTGACAAGTTAGACTGTTGACTTAGGTATTTATAGGTTGGTATATTTGTGACGCCAGTCAAGCCTTTCTTCTTTCTTGCATGTTTTAAATTTAGTCATATTCTTACTTAACTTTGCACAAATTTCATTAGCCATTTCATAGTCGTTCATCACTGTTCATATCATTGTCATTATTTCATTGTCATTACCCGTCAATTGTCGAAATCGCTGATCTATAAATAGTCACTTGAAATCGTTACGGTCAAGGTCGCGATCGTACTCAAGTAAAATTATACTAGGCCTATTGCGGTCGAATATTTTGACAGATCCGCGCGTATTTTGCCGTTTTGGTTGCAGTGCTGAAGGTTTGTAAGTTAGTTAAGTAGCATATAGTCTTGCATTTATTTAATTTAAAGTAAATTTTTTCAGGATTATTTAAGATACCTTAGTTAGTATTAGTTAAGTGTTAGTTATTTAGATTTAATTTGAAAATAGTAGATACTTCGGCGTTTTTATAGCCGAGATGTAGATTACCTCCCCTTAGTGTATTGAATTAGTTACAGAGTTATCTTTCTTTGAATACAGAATATTTTTTTTTGGTACTGAGTTGTTGAATTTGAATATTTTTTTTTCTCAATTTTTTTTTTGAAAATTAATTTTTTTTTTACTGAGGGATTATTGTATACATATTTTTGACACAGTAGATTAGAGTAGTATTTTTATTTTATTTTTTTTTGAAAGAATTTGTAAATGAGTACACTATTTTCTGGTAATTCTAGTCTTATTTTTTTTCCAATTATTTTTTTTTTGTAGAATTTTTTTTTCTCTTTTTTTTTTTCAAAAGTTAAATTTTTGTTTGATCATCAATTTAGATTTCATTTTTTTTCCCCTCTTCTCAAGTTTGTTTTTTTTTTCTCTCTCATTGGGTTAGATTGTCAATCTCTGTTTTGATTTCATCATGTTGTCATTTTCATTTTTGTGCATTGTCCATTAAGTTTTTTTTAATGACAAATTGAATTTTAATTGGTCACATTCCTAGTTTATTTCACATTAGTTCCTGTAGTTACTTGTAGTATTAGGAATTAGTTAAGACAGTTCTACAGTCATGTCGGAGCTACAAGAAGGATACACAAAGGAAGAGTTAAAGGTCATTGGAGAAGGATTTAAAGAAATTGGAGTAAAACCAGATGCAAAGTCTACTGAAACTTTCCAAAATTGGCTGTTAGAATTTGCGAAAGGAGCAAAGCCAAAGACAGAAGGAGCTACTGCGATGCCACTAGCCAGTGACAAGTCACTCAATCCATATCAACCACCTAGACTTCCATCTTTCTCAGGTGACAAGAAAGGAGATGCTACATTTGATTTATGGAAATATGAGGTTGAATGCTTGAAAAAAGAGAATTACACAGACTCCGTAATAGCACATGCAATACTTGCAAGCTGGAGATGCAGGCTAGAGGATCTCATGAATAAAGCTGTGCACATGAAACAAGTCAAACCATATGAGGTTAATGACATGCTGAGGAATATGTTCTACGAAGGACTTAGATCCCCATTACAAGATACAACAGGACATATATTTGAGGCAACTCAAAACTTTGACGAGCTTCGCAGAGCTGTAAGGAGGAAGGAGGAAGAAATAAACAAGAGGAAAACTCCAGCTACAGGACAAATCAAGCAAGTTAAAACTACAGAGGCCCAAGCCAATTTAGAAGAATTAAAGGCTATGGTCCAGAAACTTACACAGGATGTGACTCAGATAAAACTGGATATGCAAGGAGGAGACCAAAGCTCAAGCATACAAAGTATACAACCGCAACAGTCATACCACATAAGAAGAGGAAACAGAGGATATGGCACAAGACAGAACCATAGGGGACGTGGAAAATACACAACCTATCAAGGAGATTTCAGTGGCAACTCACAAGTTAGCCAGCCAAAAGCTCATTATGGAAATGTGCCTACTTGCTTTAAATGCGGCCAGGAAGGACATGTAGCAATAGGGTGTAGAGTGAGGCTGGACTACACAAAGAGAGGAACTGTAAACTTCAGGAGACCTATGCCAAGGCGCGGGCATTAGGTCAACAAGTACATCAGCAGCGTCAAAGCAACAATGAAGGATACATGGGAGAATCATGTGAAGTAAACTTGGTCATAGAAGGGATAAAGACTAGAGCTCTTCTAGATACAGGTTCCACGGTATTAACCATCTCTCTGTCATTCTATAAGGAGCATTTCCCACACAAAGATGTAAAGGATCTTGATAGGATTCTAACTCTCCATGGAGCACGAACTACCATATGAGGGATTTATAGAAGCCAGTATAGCAGCTCCAGGCTTACACAGCAAAGAAGAATTTCCCTGTATTTTTCTAGTCGTTCCAAACACGGACTATCACGACACAGCACCACTGCTCCTAGGAACAAACATCTTAAGGGTACTACTAGATAACACCAAGTCAAATCATGGAGTAAGATACCTTCAGGAAGCTAAGCTGCACACACCCTGGTATTTAGCATTCCGCACATTGACACTCAGGGATAAGGACCTTGCAAGAAGCAATAACAAATTAGGAGTCATCAAATCAGCAGAATCTACTAGAACAATCATACCACCCAATAGCAGAACAACAATTCAAGGATATGTAGATAAACAACTATTGTACCAAGACTCTTGTGCTATGCTACAACCAACTACAAGATCAGCAATACCTGAAGACTTGGACATAGTACCTACAGTTATCACCTACAAATATGGACAGCAAAACACTATACCAGTTCATATCTGTAATATCACCACCAGAACAGTAACAGTATCACCTCGTGCCATCCTATGTGAGTTACAAGCTGTCAACATAGAGGAAATGCCAAATAAAGTTAACACATTGGATCCAAAATTAGACAACATCAATATCGATACAGGAAATCTTACAGAGGACGAATACCAGAATGTAAGGAAATTACTTCGT